CCACATCACATGTACATTTTCACCACTTCTGAAGTGTGTGCAAAGTTTCATTAGTTTTCGAGCATGTTTAAGCCGGAGGACTATGTCAAAGTCATTTATTTTTATCACACTTCCTGCTACCAGCAGGTGGCGCTATTACAATAATCTAATATGAGGATGGTCATGTGTTCAGGACAGGACTCTTATCACACATGTGAAGTTTGGGGCAGATCGGACATTGTATGCCTGAGTTACTGCAGGCTGTCTGTGGTTGCCTAGCAACATCGGAACTGCATCATTTACACAGAAGTTATCTGATGATGCATATTTCACCCAGAGGCTGAAATTGGATTTGCACATCTACATTTTTGTCAGATCGCCGAGGTCACATCCTTCGACGAAAACTCTAGATCTTCCCAATTTAACGTCACAAAGGCCTTAAGATTAGACTGACAAAATATTATGTGGATCTGATTTAATCTCTAGGAGGAGTTCGTTAAAGTACAACATCAGGAAATTACGAAAAATGCACAAAATCTAGGAGGAAGTTCAAAATAGCTCACTTCCTGTTGTGTTTAGGGCTATGCTCCAAGAGACTTTTTTGTAGGTATTGGGTCATTACATGTATGTACCAAATTTCATACCTGTACGTGAAACGTAGAGCCGGGGCAAAATCTGGGGGCAATAATTTACCGAATTTGCCCCACCCAATTTTGAAAACCATATCACACGTAAATTTTCACCACTTCTGAAGCGTGTGCAAAGTTTCATGAGTTTTTGAGCATGTTTAGGCCCTCTAAAAAGCGATTCTTTTAAGAGAAGAAGAAGAAGAAGAAGAAGAAGAATAAACAGAGCAAAAACAATAGGGTCCTCTCACCATCGGTGCTCGGGCCCTAATAAAACCAATATAAAATAAAAATTCACATTTACATAATATCAAATAAAACAATATTGTATCAAACAATGTAATAATACTGGAGATTAATATAGATTACTAGCAGACAGAGCTGCCAACTCTCACGCATTGACCGTGAGACTCACGCAATTGACCCTTTTCACACGCTCTCACCCACGCCACACATCCATTTTCTCACGCAGAAAAAAATCGCGGACAAAGAGGACACTGACACCGACAGACAGGTTACTTTTGATATGGAACAAATCTACAGCTGTCAGATCCTGTCAATATTTTTACGAGATTCACATAATAAATAACGTTTTGGCTCTTTGAAATGTGACAGATCGCTGTAGCGCGTCAGTTCAAACGGCACGTGATACAGCAGCCTACAAATACAAATCCACTGCTTCTTAGCTACGCAGCGTTGTTGAGTGAACCTATGAAAGAGAACATCTCTGGTTACTGGTGTAACATATCTCTCAATAGGGAACGAGACGCTGCCAAGCTCCTTGCGCTGCCGACCAGCTTCCTTTTTCGGCAGAGAAATCTGAGGAGCAGATGACACGCGCGCGCCAACATAATATGACGACGTAAGTGCGTCGAGGCGGCGCCCGCGCCATCAGCCAATGCATTGGCTTGATTCTATATGGATTCAGACTATCGGCACACTCAGAGGGCGTTCTGACGCGTAATTTTACACGTGAAATGCAGCCAAACCTTGCGAGCAAGAGCGCGCATGCGAGACAGAAGAGACTGTGCGTGTGTGTGTGCGCGCTTGTGTGCCTAATTAAGTCAGGCACCGAAATCAGGCACCGAAATTGTCGTTCTTATTCGGTCTGGTTACTACCGTTTACGTCGGAACCGGTTCCCTATTGGTACCGAGTTTCGGTACCCAACCCTATTGTTTACAGAACACTGTAATTTACTGTAAAGGCAAATAGGTCACCACAATGTCAAATCAAAAAATCTAAAATTAAGAGTAAATCTTTAAAAGTGCTATGCCGTAATATCCCAGAATCTATCAAAGCATAACTATCACATTTATATTTCAGAGTTTACTATCCACTACGTAACCTTGTGTTTTGCATTTACTGTGGTACACAACAATGACCCTAACAATTACACTTTATATTAAGTGGACAGTTCCTGAGGATTTACCATGTAACGTTAAGTACACTGTTAATGCAGTGTTGCACAGAGGTTTGGTTTTGCATAATACACAGTAAGTTTTGACCATTTTACACTTTATATTAAGTGGACAGTTCCTGAGGAGTTACCATGTAACTACACTGTTAATGCAGTGTTGCACAGAGGTTTGGGTTTTGCATAATACACAGTAAGTTCTCACCATTTTACACTTTATATTAAGTGGACAGTTCCTGAGGAGTTACCATGTAAGTACACTGTTAATACAGTGTTGCACAGAGGTTGGGTTTTGCATAATACATGTAAGTTATGACCATTTTACACTTTATATTAAGTGGACAGTTCCTGAGGAGTTACCATGTAAGTACACTTTTAGTACAGTTGCACAGAGGTTTGGGTTTTGCATAATACACAGTAAGTTATGACCGTTTTACACTTTATATTAAGTGGACAGTTCCTGAGGAGTTACCATGTAAGTACACTGTTAGTACAGTTGCACAGAGGTTTGGGTTTTGCATAATACATGTAAGTTATGACAGTTTAACACATTGTATCAAGTGCAGAGTTCCTGAGGAGTTACCATGTAAGAACACTGGTACCACAAGGGAAAACTTTAGCTGTAATTCAACATAAGTCCTGCCGGTCATATAGTAAATACATGGTATACACATAGGAATCATCATGGTTTCAGTGTGTTCTTAACTGGTAACTACAGTATGGAAGACTGCGTGTGGAAGTGGAACAACTGGTGTGAATACATATTGTTGTTACAAAATGTAGTTACATAATGCCTGTTACACATGTGTACCTACTGTAGTGGAAAAAGTGTTGTTACCAATGTCCTGTTACACATTTGGGTAACACTTTATTTTAAGGTGCTTGTAATAAGCAGTAATTAACAGTTAATAACACTTATAGGACCTTATAAGATGCATATAAGATGCATATAAGCATTAACTACTTCATATAAAGGTCCAGGCCCTGAAGAGATCAGGGAAACTACTCCCTCTTGGGAAGGTAAATTTTTAAGGGACTGGGAGTTTGTGTTACCATTTATGTTTGTTCAGCTGTTCTAAAAGTGCAATGTATTGATACTTGAGAAATGTATTATTTAATTTAATTTATTTATTATAATTAGTTAATGCTTGTATGCATCTTATATGTATCTTATAAGGTCTTATAAGTGTCTTATTAACTGTTTATTACTGCTTATTACAAGCACCTTAAAATAAAGTGTTACCCACATTTGTACTTACACATACCTTTCCGTGGGTTGTTACATATGTGTAGTTACACAAATATTACAGTTGTAAATACTATGTACCAATGTGTATTTACACTGTAGTTACATACTAAGTACATATCTAGTAACCATGTAAGTTCACAGGTATTAGGGCCACTTAATATAAAGTGGGACCCAATGTTATGTGTCTGAAAAAATAAGTATGTATATTGCGCTCGGGTAGTTTGGCGTGACTGGCCTGGAACGTTACAAAGTCATGAGTCGTGGTTTGAAGTCGTGATTTACGTGCTCAAAAACCTGCCTGGAACGCAGCATAAGTACAACAATATAGAACAGAATGAGGTTCAAACAAACAATATTTATTGAATAGAGTATTTTCTATAGAATGTTAAGATAAGTGAATATTAACGTAAACATAAATAAGAAGAAAATAATAAATTATAACCCTGAGCTTTGGCTTTTGGGATTAACTTTGGTTCTCTTTACAGCCTGGGTATTTTCGACATCAGTATGATTTTTTTATTTTTTATTATGCTTGTTGAAGCAATTCTTGATTTATGGTTATTATTTACTGAGGGATGTGCATCCATATTGACCAGTATGTCCAGCTAATCAACATTTTAAATTCAATATAGCCTATTAATCAATAGTCAATCAATGTCAAATTGTCAATACATTGCTTTCTATCTTGCATAATTAGTGCAGTTGTTTAGAGTTTTTAACTACACTGAGACTAGATAATCAGTGTCTTGTTTTATAATGTGTAATTTGATTGGGAGTGCCATCATTCACGTGTAGGCCTATGTATTGTACAGTATGTCTGGTCTTCATATATTTCTGCTTGAAAAATGCGAGTTTCATTTTGTGCACGCGCATATGAACGCACGATAACACACGCGACGCGGTTATGTTTTCCGAGCTGCAGTAAACAAACACCGTTGCACTTTGTCGTTTATCAAAAACAAACGTAATAAATAATTGTATTTTACTCTCACTTTTGTCAGGCACAAAGTGATGCAAGAGATGCACTGCCTGCCCAGCTAAGTTAGCAAGACCGAAAAACATCAAACTTTGCTGACATCAAACTTAGAGAGGAGAGAACACAAGTTTACCTGATTGTTGTTCCCGCAATTCACTTTCATGTTTTTTTTTTCTTCTTCCTCTTTTCGTGACCAGAAGGATAGTTTCGCTTCATTTTGTCATGGATGTTGTACACATTAATTGACGCGCTATGACACGAGATGGAGGCGGGGCCTTAAGTAATTTGCGGGGCCTTACGCACCGGTCGCGTGCAGTCTATGGTCGCGTGCAGCGCTGCAGCCACGTAAACAGTTTGCCCTTCCCTTACTGACTTTCACCTTCGGTGCCCGAATGGAAGTGAATGAGGCTTTGCGATTTTTTTTTTTTGTTGTTGTTATCTAGGCCTACGTGAAACTCTGCATCCATTGTAACGATTGCCCCCACCCCCCACCCCCCACCCCCCGTGCACGTCCCTGGGCTCGTTCAATAGTACTCAAAGATGACTGGCTCCCTGGCGTGATCCCATTCAGTCGACGTCGACTACGTCTGACGTTCTCGACTGAAAGGGAACTAGATATATTTTCACTGTTGGCAATGGCATACATGCAAACAAAAAAACCTCCCCCACAATAGAGTGGCTAATTGAATTCCAAAGCTAATTTTGTATATGTGTTATTGTGATGTGCGTGTATTATGTTTGTGTGTATTCCACAGGTTTGCTGGCAGACCAGGGGATTATAATAAGCTGTTTAACCGGTGGAGGATGGAGGAGGTGGGTGAGATGAGGCTGTAATGAGTCCTCTCGCACTTGGTTATTAGTGCCCTTCAGCATGATCAACATTCCCTTATCAAATATCTGCCTCAGTTATTTAAATGAGATTTAAATAAAAATGGTTATTATTCAGTGCAGATTTCTCATAATTGCCTCAACATAACAACTGTGGTTGCTCGTAACACAAGTGTACTGTCTGTGTAAATCATGTAGTATAATCAAAACCACCCTTGTGAAAAAGAAGTGTGCTTGAACAGACTTAAGTATAGTTTTAAAAAGTGCTCTTGTCAAATGTCTTTTCTTTTAAAGTTTATCATTCCTGTAATCAGTACTATTTTTAAAAGTATGCTAAAATGTACTTATTTTTCACAAGAGAGATCAACATGTTTATGCAATTTTTCCCCTTAGTGTCATCCCAGTGGTTGTCTGATCGACTTGTGCCTACAAATGGGAGTGATAATGGTGTTGAAACAGATCTGGAACAACTTCATGGAGCTGGGCTACCCGTGAGTATAAGCAGACACACAGTGGCATCCACATGGGGAGGCCATGAACAAAAATATATATAAAAAACCTGACATGATTGTTAAATGGTTTCGATAACTGGGAAAAAACATTCCTTCCACAGTTCTGTTTTATAAATTTCAAGCTGCATTTGACAGTATCTACAGTGGCTTATTTTGTAGATTCTAAAAAACCTAACCTAGAAAAATAACTTACTCATCTTAAACAATATATTGACTTATGCCACAAAAACTCATCTAAAATAATATATCAGATTATATATTTTTGGGGGGTGAAAATGGCCCTTAAGAAGACTAGCTTGGTTGAGACATGAAAAAAAAGTCTATATTAAATTAATAAATTTCTATTTTAAATTAATCACAACCATTAGTATAAAGCAGTGGCAAGTGGTGTTCTGAAATGAGGAGTCAAAGTCATAACAGTTTTCTATTTATTTATTATAATTTTTTTTATATAAATTCATGTTTCAATTATACTTAATATTGACACATTTTTCCGGTTAAATAAATAAACATTAAGTCAAGTCACATTTATTTATATAGCGCTTTTTACAATACAGATTGTTTCAAAGCAGCTTTACAGAGATAACAGGAAAATAATGCAAAAAAAGTTTGTTTCCAGAAGAAAAGAGCGTCACAGTCCAGCTGAAGTAAGTTCAGTGATGTTTCATTTTTGTTTAAAAAAAAGTTATTAATTTAGTTATTTTATATATAGTAAATCTGTATACTGTATATAGTTTATCTGGAGTAAATAATGATGTTATCGTCCAGCTCAGTTCAGTTCTTGTATAATAGTGTCAATGCAGGCAGATCAATATTATTGTTGATTATTAAATTAAATGTTAAATTGAATGTCCCCAACTAAGCAAGCCAATGGCAACAAAGGTGCATAAGGCGACAGTGGCAAGGAGCCGAAACTCCATCAGGTGGCACAATGGAGAAAAAAACCTTGGGAGAACCCAGGCTCAGTCGGGGGCCAGTTCTCCTCTGGCCAATGAACGAACAGTGTATGATTATGATTCAGGCAGCATTATAGGTCAGAAGTCAGATTGGTTTGGAACAATCAGAATATTATCCAGTTCCATCTGGTTGAAGATCGGAGTCAGGCCAGTATGGAGACGGGTTTGTTGAGGATCAGTGCCGATGGCTGTCGTGTCGATGAGGCTTTCACAGGGGAGAGTCTACACAATCTCCGCTGACACTTCAGGGATGTGTTGTGGTCGTGTCTAGGTGCAGGTCTACCATCTGATCTGATACGGCCTGGATCCAGCTTATTACAGTAAACCTCGGAATAAGCAGAAAGACTAACATTAGCGTAGATGCCATTCTTCTTATGATGTAATGGGTACATTGGGTGTTATAGGAAGTGTTCCCGGTTCCGGCTGGCCTAATTTGACCTAAATGACCTAAACAATGCTCGTGTTGTGGTTTGTCAATGATGGTTACAAATACAAAAAATTTGTGAATGTGATAAGCTGATCATTGACTGTTGCTTGTCACGACACCACAGGCTATCAAGTTGCTCAACAGCTCAAGATATTTAGCATGCTAGATATTTGTCTGGCTTCGGCGAGGTGTCAGCGAGCGTTTTTGTTACGTCGTTAAGTATTTCACATCAACCGCAGATTTGCACGCGATTACAGCCTGACCTGTCGGCGAGCTCGTTAACTTGCAAATCGGGCTTAAAATCCTGTAGTGTGAACAAGGCGTAAGTCAGTATAGGGTCTAACATACATGTTGTTGATTTGGATGATTTAACAAGTTTAGACTATTCTTCCTCTCCTATTGCAACAAATGAATGGAACTTTTCCTCAGGGACACAACAATGCACTGCCTAATGCGATACTGTAGTAGATGGTTGCATAGTTACAAGATTTATAATATATAAAAATTATAAGTAAAGAACTTCATAAAGTCATTACTGCTATGCTCTTTGGAAACTTCAGAAGTAGAAGCTTTATTTCTTGTTAATTTAGTTTTTAAGGCTTTTCTGTACGCAATTGTGCTCTCTCTCCACGAAATTCGAAAAACGACTAGTTTTGTTTTCTTCCAGTTGCGCTCCATTTTTCTGGCTGCTCTCTTAAGGGCCTGAGTGTGCTCAATAGCCGCGTTTCCACTGCCGGGCCGTGCTAGTGCGTGCCAGGGCCAGTCGCGTTTCCACTGTCACTTCCGGGGCTTGATCGGGGCTTACTCGGGGCCAACGGCCAGGATTTCTGGCCCGTCGAATACCTTGGGCCAATGCGGGCCAGCTCGGGCTAGAGGAGTGGTTACGAACAGAGGCGGGGATTACCTGAGTCGAGAGACAGGAGCGCCGAATGATTCTGTCAGCATTAAAGACTTTTAAAATAATTTAACTCACTTTCATGTTTTAATGCCTTCTGTTTGTGATCCGATGTGGATTCTGATCACCGTATAAGGTAGAAATATTTATACGCGATGCAAAAGACTATGCGCGCTAACCATTACCATAGTAAACATAGTAAACGCTTGAAGATACGCATAGTAAAAAAACATGGTGAACGCTTGAAGAAGTCAGACCAATCATAAAGGCTATCACAATCATGTTTTTAATTTATCTGTCAGTAGCCTACATATACTACATAGTAGTCTCTTAATACAGGACTCTACTTTTTTTCGGGAGCTTCCTGTTTCTCTGACTGAAAATATATCTGTAGCTACTGGGAGTCGAGACTGTGCTAACGCTCCTCAGGTCGTATTTTTGGTGGCATATAACATTATTTGTAGAAATTATCATTGTTTCTAAATGTGATATATGTCCTGTAACTACCAATAAACAGAAACAGCCTCGACTGAATAATGTAAGTGTGTCCTCTTTCTTTTGTGAAATAGACCTAACGTTAACGGTCATTTATTTCTGTGTGACTAATGTGCAATTTTGACATAAATTAATTCATTATGATCAATGTATCATTTTTTATTGTAAACCTGTGGTAAAACATCGATGCTTGGGTTTTAAATATTCAAGTAAACAACAAAAATGCCAGCAAACGGCCGCTTTTATCATGTTTGTTTTGCGATGCACGCTGTTTCCAGTGATTTCTTTCTGATTAGTTGTCTGATAAAACTTCCATTTGTTGGTGAAATGATGGGTTAGTGTGACGTTGTTCCAGAGAGGCGTGTTGCGGGCGTGTTTTAGTGACGCGCTGTGGAGTTTCTGGCCCGACAGTGGAAACGCAGGCCAGGTGCTACTGGCCCGAGGCTATTAGCCCGGCACGGCCCGTTTAAAGCCCTGGCCTAGCACTGGCCCGTTTAAAGCCCTGGCCTAGCACTGGCCCGACAGTGGAAACGCGGCTATTGTACCACGGAGTTGGACTCAGGCGTTCTTTGATCTTCTTTAAGCTCAACGGAGCAAGACCTCCGTTCATCTTCGGAACACAGTTTAAGATATTTTAGATTTAGTACGAGAGCTTTCTGTCCCTCCATTGAAAATGTATGTACGGTATACTGACCTTGTCCAGAAAGGAAATAAAGACATCATCAAAGTAGTCCATGTGACATCAGTGGGTTAGAATTTTTTTAAGCATCGAAAATACATTTTGGTCCAAAAATAACAAAAACTACGACTTTATTCAGCATTGTATTGTCTTCCGGTTCTGTTGTCAATCCACGTTCACAAGTCCGCAGTGACGCTGATGACGTAAGACGCTGCTGACGTGTGTCTGGTGCGTCCGTGTATTCAGGTTCAAATAAATATGGCTGGGCAAAAAAATGCAAGTCTTCTTCTGTGTCGAAATCCTTAGACATGTTTGCGAAGATTGTTTTGTTTACAGCGTGCGTCTCCCTCAGACTGTAAACGAAGCCCGGGCGCACCAGATAACACGTCAGCAGCGTCACTGAATGCGGCTTGACAACAGAACCGGGAGAGAATACAGTGCTGAATAAAGCGGAATAAAGTCGTAGTTTTTTTTTTTTTTGGACCAAAATGTATTTTCGATGCTTCAAAAAATTCTAACCCACTGATGTCACATGGACTACTTTGATGATGTCTTTATTTCCTTTCTGGACAAGGACAGTATACCGTGTATACATTTTCAATGGAGGGACAGAAAGCTCTCGGACTAAATCTAAAATATCTTAAACTGTGTTCCGAAGATGAACGGAGGTCTTACGGGCTTGGAACGACATGAGGGTAAGTCATTAATGACATAATATTCATTTTTGGGTGAACTAACCCTTTAAGTGCTGGAAAAGAGAGAGTCAAAAGTTTTGGTCGCAATATTGAGTTCTTCTAAGCTATCTGGGATGCTGAGGAGATGAAACTGATCAGGAATATTATTAATGAAGCGATCTTAAGTGGCAGAAGGGATAGGTGTAACATATTTGTAACACGGAGTCAGCTTTGCAGCCTTGGCTAAATGAAGTATATACGAGACCTGATCCCCAGATTGTCATGTTTGAGCTCTAAGACGATGTACCAGAAGGCAGCACCATCCCGGGAGGGATGAATACCATCTTTTTTTCAACAGGTCAGGTCTTCCCCAAAAACTTTTTTGTCAATGTCTATGAATTCAACAATTGTCTATGAATTCTATATTATTTTGCGGACACCACTTAGACAGCCAACCATTGAGTGAGCACAGTCTACTAAGTATCTCATCACTCCTGTGAACAGGAAGGGGGCAGAGCAAATGACAGTGCCTGACATCATACTTGCGAGTTCACACACCTCTTTAACGTAAATTTTGGTGATCTCCGACTGGTGAAGTCGAACATCATTTGTGCCGACATGAATAATAATCTTAGAGAATTTACGATTAGCATTAGCCAGCACTTTTAAATTTGCTTTGATGTCAGGCGCTCTGGCTCCCGGCAAACGTGCAAACAATGTTCCATGTAATAGAATCGCCAATAACTAGGGCACATTCAACAGGATTCTCAGTGGGTGTTTCACTGAGAGGGGAGAACCTGTTTAATGTTGTTATCGGAACAGAAGAGCGGTGTTTTGTCCTGCAACTACAGCGTCTCATGGTCATCCAGTTGATGACGCACTAAGGCCACTGAGGCTGGCCCCTCCCCTAACAATAGAGCACATTCGCATCAGTTTGGCGCTCAATCGCGAGCTACTGTCAGTACTATTAGTTACTACAGCCTACAGTTTGCTAGCTAGCTATGCCTTCGATACGGAAATGCATAGGCTACTACCTGGATGCGATCATGTACAAAACAGATCGTTGTCTTTTTTTAAATTTCCTAAAAACGATCACATCACATCCACACATCAAGGTGGATTAATTTGTGAAGAGCCAACCTTGATGGAAAGCTAAGGATCACCACCAACACCCGCCTCTGTAGTGATCATTTTACATGGGATAGTTTTATAAACTTTCGTCAGAGACAACTGGGATTCACTGATAATCCGCTGTTACTGGTGAATGGGGCCGAACCGACTATCTCCCGCCTCGGCCTTCATCCTCCCGTCGCGAAAGCAGTATCACCTAATATCAGCGTCGGCAGCTTTCCCGCGAGTGGGCGTGGTTTCAGCACAGCCACCGGGCACGCCCCCAGCGTTTGAGAGCAGAGAATAATGCTAATTTTTTCAAGATTTTGATAGCTTATTTTATGTACTTGCTTGCTTTTTTATCATTCAAATTTGGCTGGGTGGCTAATAACACATTTTTCTGTGGTGTGACAAACTCAGAACACATACTTAATTTTGACTTTACAGGGACTTTAACTGATTCTACTTACCTTAGTTGCTTGATAGATCTCGTAAAAGGTGCGAGCGCGCGCATAAAAAAAAAAGGCAAGCACGGGTGGCAGGTTAACAGGCTAGCAAAATACTAGGGTGTTGTGCTAGCGATAATGATTTAGATAAAAGCTAGTGATATCAGAATAATGTGATAGGCAATATTAGACAACATCTAATATATGTTGATGAAAAAGTCCAATTTAGACGTTAAAAAAAGGCGCCAGCCCTATTCAGTTGCTGTCTCCCCAACCCACTCCAGCCCTCCTGGTACCGGCATTTTTTTCCATCGAGCCTGTTCCAGCCCCAGAGTTCAGTATCAAGGCTGTCCCAGCTCTTGAGTCTGCATTGGAGCTCACTCTAATCCCTGAGCTTGCATCAGAACCTGATCTAACTCTCATGTCCGCTTCAGAGACCGTACTCACCTGTGAGTCTACTCTAAATTCCCGCTCCAAGGATCGTAGTATTGCCAATTCCAATGGTCACAATGCTTCCAGTGAGTGATCTTCCCGAGTCTGCTCCAGTGAGTAATGTTCCCGAGTCCATTATTGATAGAGAAGTTCCCGAATCTGTTCCCGGGTCTGTTCCAGTGAGAGAAATTCCCCAGTCTGTTCCAGTGAGTGAAATTCCGGAGCTAAGCCCAGAGTGCAGCAATAACCATAATGGCTCTGGCATTGTGTGTCATTGTGAATAATATCATGTGTCCTCCCACAAATTGCATAGATGCCAGCCAAATGTCTTGGTCTGTGGCCAGTCCGTTGGAGGCTGAAGGTTGGTCCCATTTCGGATACTTATGCTCTAATTTTATGCATAAATAGTGTGAGTAGTGTGTTCACACTGAAAATTCCCAAAAGAAAAAGTGCACTTTAAATACCTGGATGATGCACTAAATTAACGGAAAAAAAAACTAAGTGTGGAATGTTGGATACTTCATGCAATCAACTGTCGCAAGTAGCAGAGGGGGAGGGGCTATCAGACTCCAATGTTGAATGACAAAATAATCTTATGAAATTCACACACTACTCGGATAAGTACATTGTGCATACGTATATTGTAAGCATGCAAGTGCATATTGTATAGTGCGTCATTTGGGATGCAACTCGGGACTATGAAAGACTTTGCTAACAAACCTAAATGTTGTAATGCCGATTTGACCAACGGAATGCTATCCGGCATCTCACCTAATCATCACATAATAAATCAGACAGTATTGTATATTGTGTAGGTCACAGATAACATATTTCACCTAGATGTTGGAAGATACTTTTTGCTCGCAATTGGAGTCTTACTTGGCAAATAAATTCTTGATAAACCCCTTTTCCTCTGGAGCATGTATGACATTTAGTTTGATTTGATTGCTTCTTTTCTAACCCCTGATCCCCTAAACCTCAAACAGTAGTATAAGTTCCTTCATAATAAGTTGTCATGCTTTATTTATCATTATTTGCATTACACATACATTATTTCATAAGAGCTGACATTGTTACTGAGTGTACGAACACAGGTCTGTGTTAGTCAATTATTATCCCAAATAGGAAATGTTGGCTTCACTGGACAGTTTGTCCTTATTTGAAGTCCACTTCATGGATGATTGACTTTGCCCACCCTGCAGTATAGAGTAAAATGTATGCTTCATCAGAAAGAGCCATGGCAACAGAGTGAACTTAACAGACTATCAGGAAAACATGATGAGGGGACATTAGTTTAGATTACCAATACTGTTCACAGAAAAATTACAACTGTTATTATTCACTCATTTCTTCTCATTATTTCATTATAAACCCATAATGTCTTTTTTTGTGGAACAAAGGATCATTTGTATGATGTAAAATACAATGAATTACACTGGCTCCTACTGGAATACCATTAGCTATGGCCCTAACTACTCTTCATAACTTTTCACATTCTTCATATACACATTAAATCAAATGTTTTTTTTTTTTGTTTTTTTTGTTTTCATCCACCAGACTGTTGCAGAACTGGTGGTCTCGGCGTAAGATGAAACGAGCAGGTGAGCAAAATAACAGTAAAGAAGGGCTTCCGCAATGGGATAGAGACTGGAACTTACAGCCTATGAACGCACATGGCCTGGTGGACGAGTACCTGGAAATGGGTGAGTTCTGCTCGACGAACACCTATAGTGAGATATAAAGTGTGTCATTTTCAAATGGCAAAATAGAATCTTGCCAAGTTTGGCAAGCAGGGCGAGGCCGAGAGCTGTGGGAACGAAGCTCACGGCTCTCGGCCACGTCCTGCTTGCCACACCAAGGAAGTTAGTTAAAATGAATAATAACACATCTGGTTTAATGGCACAGGTGGTTGACTCTATTGTCAATTTGAGGACTGAGGTTTGTTACGATTACAGGACACACTAGAACAGAATTTCAAGTATTTTCAACAGGAACGCGTTCCTGCAATGCATTTGCCAAGCAATTGCGTCAGTTTTTGCACATTTTCATAAAGTATGTTTCTGCCATAAGGAACCATTTTTAGACTGGCTTAACCACAAAAGGGTAAATGCTTGATTATGAGTGTTCTAATTCGGCAAATCATTTGCTTGTTGCCTAGATGGGATGTTTATTTCAGCTGTTTTCTGTAAAGTTCTGCAGTTTGGTTTCACTACAATCTTTGTGGCGGCGTTTCCTCTGGCTCCTCTCCTGGCTCTGCTCAATAACATCATTGAGATCCGATTAGACGCCTACAAGTTTGTCACGCAGTGGAGGAGACCGATGCCCGCCCGCGCTACTGACATCGGTCAGCCCTTTTCACCTCAATTAGCCTGATGTCAGTTTATTCCAACCTAAAAACAAGAAACCCAAGAGTCATTTGTTATAATTACATTTAGTATGTTGTCAATTTTGATTGTTAGCACCAGTATTTACATTATAAAGAATAAAGTAATGCTTAATAGCTGATACATTAATATAGCAGATTATTTTACAGATATATGTATTATCTGTCCTGGTATATTTCAATATATATGTTTTGAAAGATTGGTAATTTTGTTTGTTTGTTTGTTTATTTGTTTGTTTAATTAGGTATCTGGCATGGAATCCTGGAGGGAATTGGAGTTGTGGCTGTCATAACAAACGCCTTTGTCATTGCCATCACTTCAGATTACATCCCTCGCTTCGTCTATGCATTCAAATATGGGCCCTGTGTGGACAAGGGTTACCGGCATGAGAAGTACGAACATTTCCAAATAGCTGCAAGCAGCAATTACAGGGCCAAAAAAAAAAAAAAAAAAAACAGTGGCATGCGTATTGTAGAGCAGATTTATTTTGTTAGCCACTCTGGTGGAGATGGGTGCACTGCAAAAAAAAAAGTTTTTGTCTCATTTCCTGTCCAAATATCTAAACATTATTGGATCAAGATTAACTTACTAGATGTAAATACTACAAGTAAAATGGCATAAGATATTATGACTTGTTTTCTGAAAAACAAATAAAAATTAAGAGAGTTTTTGCTTAAAACAAGGTTAAAACACCTGGCTAATGGGGTAAGAAAAATAATCTTGTTTCCGTTTGAATTAACCTCAGTGGCAGATCATTTTGCTTATTTTTCAGCTTATTCAGTTCCCAATCAACTATTTTGAAAATTAGAAATCCATTAATTCAGCTAACACTAACCCTTGTGGTGGCCTTGTGGTGAAGGCCTAGGAGAAGGCAGACGGGCAGGCAGCAGAGACCAGGGCGGAGTAGATGGAAGTAGCACCATGGTGGAGATGGTGGGAAAAGTGGCCAGGTAGTGTTAAACCAAGCAGCCAGGATGTTAGCCCACGGCGGAGTTGACGACGGGAGGAGCCATGATGTAGAGGTAGCTGATGACATCCAGGTGATGACCGACGGAGAGGGAGCCATAGTTAAGGGAGCCCAAGGTGCAGACAGAGAGCTGATGTGCCCAAGTGACACCACTGGCACTGGAGACCAAGGCGAAGCCGCTGCAACAAACGTCCAAGGAGGAACCAGAGCACCAGAGAACCAAGGCGGAGCTGGGGGGAAAAAGGACTCTGGGGCGATCGTTGGCGCTGTACTCGTCACAGGCTCCTTTGTTGTGGCGGGCGGAAGTGCTCCGTCTGCGGGGGGCTCTGGCATAGTTTCCGTGGTGCAGGGTGATGAAAGGATGAGCTCTGGGCTAGATGACGATTTCCAAAATAACGATTTCAGGGTACCATCATCAAAGGCCGATCATTGCGCAAGTCAGCAAAAATGGATGGAATAATCCAAAAACGAATGTCCTTCCCTGGCTAGGGCAGTAAAAACTGCAGCATATTCCATTTTCTTACTTTTAGGTACGGTATTCTGTAACGTTAAGGTCCAGATGATGATTAAGGGTAGTGATGGGACGGTTGATACCGGGGCTCCGATGCTCTGATGCAGTTTTCTAAGCACTATTGTATCCCACACTGACACTGTACCATTGCTTGTATCAAAATGACAATACCATGTGATTGATGATGTTTGAAGCTTCAAACGTAGCTTTAAATGCAGTATCGGAAGGTCAGGTCAGCTGGTTTGAAAAAAATAGTCTCTTCCCCCCAATGCATAAAAGGGAAATGATTATCCCGTTACTTCGAGGGCTATCAGACATGCAAACGAGTGTGTGTGTGTGTGTGTGCACTTATTTGGGATTCAGTAGAATAGTTTTGAGTCAACTGTAACCTCAACACCAAACTGAATGCACGTCACACCTCTATTGCATTTAATCATGTTTTATAGCTGGAGTCTCAGAGACTGAACATAAGTATACATACTTACCGAACATATATTTTACATTATTGATTAATATGTGAATCCGTTGACCAGGCTACACAAGACATGAGTTGTGGTCTCATTGGCACAAATCAATTTAGATGACATTAGATCAGATTAGATAGAACTGGATTGATCCCAGATCGATTCCACTCTTGTACATCACAGACTTCAGAAGCTTTGTTTGGTCACTTGCTTTTTCAAACAAGAAAAGTATATCCTCTGCTCTGCGATGATTTGCTAGATATGGTGGAGAAAACAACCCTGCCCACCAAATGTCGCTAATGTAAAGCTTAGAGTAATTAACTGTTTTTCGGCAAAATTTGATGAAAGCCTCAAACACTTCAGAAAGCCTCGGTTTCCCATCAATGATGAAGAGGAATGCCAAAAGGATGAAAATAAAACAAGGTTTATTAAATAATTCAACACAGGTAATCCGAAGAACAAAGACTCCCCGAAACAGTGTGCTGTGCACAAACAATACCAGACAATAAGGAACTGAAAATGTTTAAATTATTAATTAATAATTTAAACAATTTAAATTATTAATTTGAACATAATCTTCAACATGATGAATATTAATAGCGGGTAACATCTCGGGTTACTTGACTGTAACCCTGTTCCCTGAAAATGCGGGAACGAGATGCTGCCCCCCACCCCACAAGATTGCTTTCACCATTCCTGGGGCAAAGAGAAAGCCATAAAAAAAATTTAGAGTCAGAAGCTTGTCAGGCACCGACTCTAGAGGTTCAAAGGGGGGTCTCAACCAGACCCTCAAGGACTATAGCTAAGTCCCATGAAGGGATCTTGGTTCTAACAGGAGGCCTCAGTCACCCGGCTCCACGAACGAGGAAGGCAAGCAGAGGATGCTCCCCAAGTGAAACCCCGTCAATCAAGGTGTGGCAAACCGATAAAGCGGCCACATAAACCCTGAGAGTGGCGTGGCATGTGCCTACCAATATTTTTTTTCCTGCAGGAAGTCCAGAACTGAAGCAATCTGGCATTTAACTGGATCTGGACCTTTCAAAGACACCCCATTTATTGGCATAACTTCCTCTAGTGGAGGGAATGCTAATCCCTAGCACTGAGAATGGTCTCTGTGACATCAGCTGAAAAACCGGTATCCCTCAGTTGGTACCCTTCCTCTTGGACACCTAGGAGCATGGTGATTTAGAGAGAAGCAGAGGGGACATTGCATTGTTACTGAAAAGATGAAGAGGTTACCTCAACATCGTAAAACCTTCCCAAACCCGCTCCCAAGGGTGTAAATCACCCTAAGGGACAGGAACTTGTCCTGACCCTAAAGCAGAGCCTGATGCGCTCGCCTGTTAGACAGCATGAACACAGTCTTCCTGCCGATTTTTGTAGGACGACTACCATAGTATTGTTCTCCTGCACTAGGACATGGTAAGCCCCTTAACTGCTGGAGGAAGTACTTCAGTGCCAGAAATACAGCCATCAATTTGAGATCCCTTGGGCTGGACGACTACTTAAGACTGCTAGCCAGGCCGACAGGGAGGCGTCTGTCGTTAGCATTTTGCGACGGCAAGACAGACTTAGAGTGGGACACAAGCTGAGGACCCGGGGTCTGAACCACATAGAAACGCAGCGCGTAACCCTTACCATAAACATGGATTTTAGAAAGTGCACGAAGCATTCAGCGCATGACTTACCATAAAAATGTATCTTTAGAAAGGGCACAAAGCACTCAGCGTGCCCTTACCCTTATTTGCCTTTGGGGATTGTATGGATGAAGTCCCCCAGCTTTGAGCCACAACTGAAGTGGTCTCATTTGCAAAAGGCCCAGAGGGATCACTGTGGACGCAGGTCATGAGACCTATGTAATGTCCTAACCTAGCCTGATGTTGCTTAGAGTGTTCAAAAGGCTCTCGACACAGCAGGAGACAGTGGGGCCCCCGATGGTGACAGTATCCCATTTAACCCAAAGGCACGTTACCCTCTGGGCAAGAGAGGGGACGCTTTCCTTGCATCTCAGCCCCAGAGAGAGAAGATGAGCGGGAATCTATCTCGATGTCGAAGCGCAAGCTCTTGAGACTAGACCAGTATCAGTCAATCGTCTTTGTAACATGGCTAGGTTGAATGGAAGGACCCGATATTGGTTAGCTTGGTAAATTTACAACACGATCTTCTTAATAGATCTTGAAGATCTAAAACGGGCTCAGTCCCCCATTTCTTCTGGGAGCCAGGAAATATGAACTGTAGTAGCCTGACTCTTCTCTCTGTGAACATGTTCTATGAGAAGAGATTATCTTGTGACAGGAGATGCGCCTACTCCAGTTTCACGGGCGTGGGAACCACGCCATTAAAACAAGGAGGGCAGTGTATTCCTTTTTACTGTCTTTAGGACCCAAAGAGAGATACCTGGCAGTAGCTTTCACGTTGACAAAGTTTCTTTAAAGGGGTACCAATTTTAATACTTCCTTCTGGGGGGATGTTAAATGTTCTGTGTCCTGGGTGATAACAGGAAACAACAGGACATCCAACATTTGGCTGGAAACCGTTGCCCACCGAATAACCAGACGTGGTGGGGATGTTACAGTGGTTTCGTGAGGGTGTCGGGTAGGAGCTGATTGATGGATTTTACATGTCCCATCCCGAAGGGGCACACCCCACAGACCTGGGCACACAAAAACCCTCAGGAATTTTGTTCTATGTCTATTATGAGGTTGCTGAGCGCAACGAGCCAGTCCCCAGTCTTTACGAGGGAGAGGGCGACTCGCCACACTCTGCTTTTGAGTCTTTCTTTTAGCAGCTCAGCCTGCAACACTGCCATAGTGTGCAGAGCAGCACCAGCCTGACCCCCACCAGAGTGGATGTTATTATACATGGCTTGGTGGGGAGTGCTGATTCCTTAAGTGACGATGAGCTCCAGAGAAGAGATAGCCCAGTATATAACCACATGCCCCTGGACCCATGAGAGTTGAATAAGTTGACGTCAAGGGCACAAAGGCTCGCAAAGCATAAGGTTCTCCCCATGAACAATGTAATGTCATGGAGATCTTCAAGGGCAGTCTAGCTGTAATCTGGCCACTACTTGAGTCACCACCTCGAGTAACCTCACACGCTTTATCATAACGGGAGGAGCATTCGGAAGCGGCGCTCTCAAAGTCCATCTTTTTTTTTCTTTTTTTAGATGGCTATTTCACTATTCAATTCCTCACAATTAAATGTAGCCAAAGAACAACCAGATAATATATTAATGCAAGCATCTAACTTCTCAAATTAGATGAGTATTATCATTTAATTCCTCAGCAATAAATACAGCCAAATATCAATCAGACAAGCCAACACGGTCTGGAAGAAAGGCTGTGTTTAAATCTTTAATAAGATCAGCCTGATATGCCTGACCTGATGAAAATGCCTCTGATGATGTGCTCCCAGAGGAGAGATAGCCCGCAAGCATCTCTCCGATCTGAGGTAGTATCGTATAACAGCTTGCCTTCGCACCCGCGATAGTCAAATGGGTCGATGTCGAGGGCACAAATACATGCAATTGTATATATATATTTTATATATTTATTTACGAGTCAATTCGTCAAGGAGGCTAACATTAAGTGTTTTACGGGTCTCTTTTTTCTGTGACTAGTGTAATCTGGCCACTGCACGAGCGACCACCCTGAGCAGTTCCCCTTTTTGTCATCACGGGAGGAATGCTCGGAGCAGGCGAACTCACAAGATTCAGTGTTCTCTGCCCAAGCCGAAGAAATACCGCATCACAAGCTTCGGTAGTCAGGCAAAAGGACATCACGATCTGGAGAGAGAGCAAGTGATAGGGACGGACCCTTCTCTCTCTCCTCAGCCAGATCAACGCGTATGCCAGACGATGACATTGTGGGTGCTACCCCTTTGAAATAAGCGAAGCAAACGTGAAGCACTTTAACTGTGAACATTTCACAATGCTCGCAATCACCATGCTCAAAGGCAAGGGCAGCATGCTCTCTCCCCAAACAAACAAAACAGTATAGGTGTGTGTCCGATTTAACCATAGGACGTGAACACTGAGGCACACACCGTTTGTTTTGTAAATCGCTCGTTTTATTTTTGTTTCTTTTTCTTTCACTTGTCCGGCAGAGTGTAGAGAAAAACAGAAATATTTTTCTCTGCACTGCCTAGCAAAAACTAACTCCTATCAGAGTTTTTGAGAGCTTGAGGTGCACACACACATCACAGTATGGTCTGATAACAGAAGACCTGTCGATGCACCTTTGGCACATCTAATTATAGCTTCTGATGCACGCGCATTCCAATAACGTCACTGTCTGAGTCTAAGTTCAAAGTCAATTCCATTGACGTGTTGCACATATATATTCACAACTGGCCACACACAAAAGCGTTGCCCATTGCAATTAAAAAATCAAACACAGCATTGAGTATATATATAATTTATTATTTATATATAATTTAACTTAAAGGTGAACTATGCAGGTTTTTTACCTTAACCGAACAGCTTCGGAGTCATTGGAATGGTTATATATTACTCTTTTCGGGTTGAATGGTGGTCCTTTCGCACCCCCCTATTGCATGTGAGCGGAAAAAACACACTTGCAACTTTGAGCCGGCGGGCCGCCGGCCGCAGCATCAGGAAGTGTCACGTGATATCAGGTCTCGATGTAACGAATTGCTTTACGGCAAAAAAGATCTGATAAAATAAACACCAAACAGAAATAACCCGGCGCCGTATACATGTGGTGTTCAAGGCGCACATACAATACAGACTGCCGACAGTTAAACAGGGCGCGCGCAGCTCTTAAAGGGGCCACACCTTATTTCAACTCGTTACAGCTTCCATCCTACTAAACAGGTACCGGTGTACAGGGGGAGGGGATCAGGCCGTGAGTGCAGAGCCATCTCTGCGTTAGTGCTATTTACGACAGTACAAGTACTCCACAGCAACTCTAGTGGTCGCCATTTGACAAAAACGGAATTCCTGCATAGTGCACCTTTAATTATCAAAGATAAGAGGTTGCATTCAAATTCCTTATATGAAGCCTTGTATTGGTAATGCTATATATTTGTGTTTTCCCTTTCTTTACACAGATGTCTAAGAGGATACTTGAACAACAGCTTGTCTATTTTTGACATGAATGGATTGAAAAACGGAAGTTACCAAAATCAGTACTGCAGGTACTGTAACACTCATGCTAGTTTTACGTTGTTAAATGTTATTCAATTTGGGGTTTTTTGTCACTTTCATGGAGCTCAAGTTTTGTTATTTCCCTCAACAGATATCGAGATTACAGAGCACCTCCATGGAGTCCTGAACCCTACGATTTCACCTTGCAGTTCTGGCATGTTTTGGCTGCCAGACTAGCCTTCATCATCGTCTTTGAGGTCAGTGCTACTTCACGTTTTTTTAATCTTATTCGAGTAATGTTTTATAGCATTCGCAATGTAGTTTTGGGGAAGCTAATTTGAAACTTTAGCTCGCAAAGCTACAATTTATTCAAAATTTTAAGTAGTTAAGTTAAAATAAAACTGCCCTTTGATTAAGTTACAATACTACTCAAGGTACTAGTGACTAGTGTAATGGAAGCCATGTGGTACAAGAGAGCTATGCAGGTAAACCTCACTCACCCTGGACTCAGGAGGTGATTGACACTAGATGCTGTGGTCTTTTGCATTCTTGTTAACGGTTGCCCAACCCTCATGCCGACTATCACTGGTTCAAGCCCTTCTTGGAGTGCCCTACGAGGAACCAGTTAAAGTGGTGCCGTGACCCAGGTGGGAATGCGGTTTAGAATGGTCAGTGTAAATCTAGGCCAACCGGTACATGATAGCTGTGCATATAAACCTCATGTTGTGGTCATTAGCAAACTTGTTAACACACCTCAATTTAAGCCCTGTTCAGAGTAGGCCAAGAGGAACTAGTTACAAAAGTATATAATGTCACAGAGCCAGACTTTTGACTGTTTTACACCAAAATGTTTTCATGTTGGAAAAAAAATAGTCAAATGCGTAGTATGTCCAAAAATACAGTATTCATAAAATAGTAGGCAAAAAAAACCTACATGAAAGGCTGATTTAGTTGTCGTTAGTTACTCAATACTGCAATTTAATATTTATGAATTTTTTTATTGTCTGTTGTTTTCTCCATAGCACCTTGTTTTTGGCATTAAGACCTTCATAGCCCACATGATTCCAGACATGCCCAAAGACCTGAGTGATCGCATGCGCAGGGAGAAATACCTAATGCAAGAGATGGTGTATGAGGCGGAACTGGAGCACCTGCAGAAAGAGCGGAAAAAGAATGGCAAACGTTATCACCATGAGTGGCCTTAGCCATGCCTGACCATAAATACACAGATAAATGCCCACTGGAGAATCACATACCCTACCCACAAAAGCACATAAATGCTTGAAAGTGGTTAACAAACGTCTTTGCGCAACTGCAGCACAAATGTGAACACAGGCATTCATGTATGACCGTTCTGCTGCCTTGGATGTCTGGCTGTATTGACTCCATGCATGGACTGCCCACTTCAGATTTTCATTGCTATAATTAACCAGGGAGCGGATTCAGTGTTTGTTTGAGGTCAAAACCTGATCTCCGAGTGGGCCTTTAGAACCAGGAGTTGGCAGCTCTGCTCTGCACCAAAGAGGTTCTTCTCAGTCACATGACCCCTGCCTGAGACCTCAATTATCCTGTTTTTCCATCCTGCTGATTGTGTTTACTCACTAGAGCAGTAGTTCTCAAACTGTACTGATTGGATACTTTAAAAAAAAGTTGGCTAGTTTAAGTTAATTGGCTAAAATTAGTTATGAAAAGAACAAAACAGCAACCTGGCAAAAGAAAAAAAATTGGTGGTTTGCCACATTTAAAAGTTTGAGAACCACGGTAACGGAGAAAGCTCTGATGATGTTTCGTGGATATAAGATCCATTTGGAAAGAGTCGGATTCATTTGAAAGCAAGCGGAAATGCAACAAATTGGATTTCCGAAAGCACAACTGGACCCGCCTGCCTTCTCAATGGTCAAAAGAAAAAGTCTGTTCCAGAGTACACTGCTGAAAGAGTTCAAGGTGAAGGTCATATGAAGGAGTTTCACTTTTGCAAACCCTCGCTATATCCATGTGCCGGATCATCAAGTTTTAAATCAATGGATTACAGTGTTCTCTGATACACAGTAAACTCAAGTGTGTAGATGGGAAATAACTTTGAAAATATTCATTGAACACGCATCCTTCCCAGCATGGCCTGCAGAGATGCGCTCTTTCATCTGTGTCCTATTATAGTTCTGAATGGAGCACTCGTGCGGTTGGATTGTTTACTATGCAGATGAAGGGCTTTTGGAGTTCCTGTTCTCTGCTTGTCTACTTGTCTGCATCTCTGTGCGTGGCAGCTATCATCCCGCTGTGAAGCAGATCTCTACCTGGTGCCAGGCAATGTGACGACGTTTACTTACGAACATATTTACCGAATACGCCCTCTCTCTTCGCTTGCCAGCATCTCACATTGTGATTCTTGTTACAAAAGTGGTTTCTGGTAAAAAAAAAAAAAAAATTACCAAATAAAAATCAGTTTGTTTATGCAATTGAACGTTTTTTATGTTCTACATCGCCTTGAAAAGATATGCAGATCTGTCTTTCAATACAATGTCATTTTGTCTAGGCAAAATAAATTGCCAACTTTGGCAAAATGGTGATATAAATAACATGCATGTTATTTTTTTAATTGCATGTTGTTTCTTTGTTTTTTTATTATTTTATAAAAGACTATGTCCTTGTCTATATGTCTGGTTTTGTAGCGTGTGTGTTAGCTGAATTTGATGTGTGAGTGTATCTGTGTTCCGATGCCTGCGTTTGTTGCTCAGCTGTGATGTATTGTGTGTGTTTATGGCTTCATCAGCCGATGTGCCCACCTACCTAAGCTCACGGAAGTGCATATCTACAGTATAGTACTGCATGTATGTACTGTGAATTCTCCGTATGCATAGATGACCCACTACAATTGCAAAAGTGTTCAGCATACAGCCAGAGTGTGTTGAGTGAAATGCGGTATCCAATAATGCAATGCTTCCGACATAACCTACAGTACCATAGAGTGCTACAGTGATGATGTATTTCTGTACGTCAACCTAGAAGTTAGCATCACCCTGCTTCAACAAAAATCCAATAGGATTGTTTCTCTCTTCTTTTGGATTAGTGCTGAAAACAAGTTGTGACCAATAAAAGTTTGATTCTTACATGTTTTGTTCATCATGATCATTTTCTCAAATTAACAGCTTTTATTAATTTTAATGTCTTAATACAATCACCAGAAGTAAAAAGCTAAATGTAGGCTATAAACGAGCTACACTATGGTTGCATGTCTTCAATGTCACAACCATTAAGCTTCTTAAACTCTTTCAGTCTTTATAAATAAAAAAAAAAAAAAAAAAACCTTTCCCCTATTAAGTTAATAGTTTGCAAGAATACGATTTTTAAACACAACAAAGCTGTGAAAGTGGACTCGTGAGTAGACGACGTTTATGTCCCCAACAACCTCCTTTGTCCCTTTTGACCACTTGTTAGCAACTGCCTTTTAAAGTAAAAACTTTAAAATCAAAAGTGGGGTAAAACTGGTGTATTTTATGTGGTAAAATAAAATAAATATATCTTGATCTCGTCAACCAAATACCTTATTTCAGGCATTTAACCAAAAACCCATTAAAAAAAAACCAATGACTTCAGAATAATGGAATCAGAAGTGCTAAAATGCTAACTCATTTCCAGGTTTTGACCTACAAAAATACACTCACCTAAAGGATTATTAGGAACACCATACTAATACTGTGTTTGACCCCCTTTCACCTTCAGAACTGCCTTAATTCTACGTGGCATTTATTCAACAAGGTGCTGAAAGCATTCTTTAGAAATGTTGGCCCATATTGATAGGATAGCATCTTGCAGTTGATGGAGATTTGTGGGATGCACATCCAGGGCACGAAGCTCCCGTTCCACCACATCCCAAAGATGCTCTATTGGGTTGAGATCTGGTGACTGTGGGGGCCATTTTAGTACAGTGAATTCATTGTCATGTTCAAGAAACCAATTTGAAATGATTCAAGCTTTGTGACATGGTGCATTATCCTGCTGGAAGTAGCCATCAGAGGATGGGTACATGGTGGCCATAAAGGGATGGACATGGTCAGAAACAATGCTCAGGTAGGCCGTGGCATTTAAACGATGCCCAATTGGCACTAAGGGGCCTAAAATGTGCCAAGAAAACATCCCCCACACCATTACACCACCACCACCAGCCTGCACAGTGGTAACAAGGCATGATGGATCCATGTTCTCATTCTGTTTACGCCAAATTCTGACTCTACCATCTGAATGTCTCAACAGAAATCGAGACTCATCAGACCAGGCAACATTTTTCCAGTCTTCAACTGTCAAATTTTGGTGAGCTCTTGCAAATTGTAGCCTCTTTTTCCTATTTGTAGTGGAGATGAGTGGTACCCGGTGGGGTCTTCTGCTGTTGTAGCCCATCCGCCTCAAGGTTGTGCGTGTTGTGGCTTCACAAATGCTTTGCTGCATACCTCGGTTGTAACGAGTGGTTATTTCAGTCAAAGTTGCTCTTCTATCAGCTTGAATCAGTCGGCCCATTCTCCTCTGACCTCTAGCATCAACAAGGCATTTTCTCCCACAGGACTGCCGCATACTGGATGTTTTTCCCTTTTCAGACCATTCTTTGTAAACCCTAGAAATGGTTGTGCGTGAAAATCCCAGTAACTGAGCAGATTGTGAAATATTCAGACTGGCCCGTCTGGCACCAACAACCATGCCACACTCAAAATTGCTTAAATCACCTTTCTTTCCCATTCTGACATTCAGTTTGGAGTTCAGGAGATTGTCTTGACCAGGACCACACCCCTAAATGCATTGAAGCAACTGCCATGTGATTGGTTGATTACATAATTGCATTAATGAGAAATTGAATAGGTGTTCCTAATAATCCTTTAGGTGAGTGTATGTCATCCTGCAGCACTAATTTTCCAGTTTGATTAATGAACTAGAAGTAATATGATGATTAAATCATTTTTGATTCATTATTTGATTGGAATACCAAAAATGGATTAAAATGCATATTATTTCCAAAATATTACTCGGTTACTAGACATTACTTGAGTTATGTAGCAACTATGTAGCATACTAGGCCTACTGTTTAAAACATTTATCGTTGCATTATGGATGCTGTTTCACATACTATTAAAAAATAGTATGCAGTATACACAAACTGTACAGCAGGAAATAAGCAGTAAGCTAATATTCCAACGCCTTCTCATCCAAAGGCGTCATATACTGACACTTTTGCCAAAGCGTCTACATCCGACGCACATGGCACCCTTTAGCGTCAATATAACACGCTTCGGTTATGGGTAGGTTTAGGTCTGGGGTAGTGTTAGGGTTAGACCACTAGGAGGCGCCATATATCTGCGTCTCATATTGACGCTAAAGGGTGCCATGTGCGTTGGATATAGACGCTTTGGCAAAAGCGTCAGTATATGACGCCTTGGGATGAGAACGGGCTGAATATTCCACTCCAAACAGCCAAATACTGTAAAAATCAAACCGCATTAGCTCATATCAATCAATCCACCATTATTCATACAGTTAGAGCATAAAACAGATGTGATGATAGAATGAACACTGGGACAATAGACACGTAAGACAGTTTTTCTTATTTGACATTTTGCTTTTTTGTTTTATTTCTTTGTAAATTTAAATGTTTTATTTTCTCTGTTTCATTTTCTTTGGGTGTGTATGTGTGCACGTTTAAATGTGCATTTATAATTGTGTGTGTGTGTGTGTGTGTGTGTGTGTGTGTGTGTGTATGTGTGTGTGTGTGTGTGTGTGTGTGTGTGTGTGTGTGTGTGTGTGTGTGTGTGTGTGTGTGTGTGTGAAAGAGTGTTTTGTAAAGCTGATGAAGTGAGTGCTCCCAGCATGCAGCAGTTTTTCAAAACCCAACGCAATGGCTATGTTCGAAATAGCATACTACTCATACTGTTTCTTCAGTATGCAGTCTGTATACTGTGTGAAGTATGTTCATTTTGTGTATGCATGGATTATGACTTACTACTGATAAAATGTGCAGTATAGAGCAGTGTGTGAGATACTGTATCCCAAAATGCAATGCGCTCAACTTGACCTTACATTATAGTTTGACAAATCCACTGTAAGTGATATGAACCATGATTCTCCTTTCTCGTGTTCTGATCAACAGTGCAAAATAAACATTTTCATTTTAGAAATAACTAGATGTCACTTAGTTCAATTAAATTACACATGCAATGTAATGAGGCCATGTGACCACTATGTAGCATACTACTGTTCAAAACATTTATTATTTCATCATTATGTATTCTTTTTAACATACTTAAAAAAAATATTAGGCACATTACAGTGTATACTATGCAGCACGCAGTACGTATTCAAGAAGTACACTAGTATTCCATTTCGAACACAGTCATTGCATGTCCTCTTCAGGCCCTTTGAGTGTTTGCAGATGAGAACTCTGTATCATATTTTCCTAGCTTGAATCAAGTATTGCTTTTTTAGGTATATATTTTTGCACTTTCTATTTGCATGGGTACAGACCCCATATGGGTTTAGATAGTATACACTTAAAGAAACTCAGAAAATAAGCTTAAATTGTGTTTTTGCCTTATAGATGCTTCACTACACTGGAAAAAGTCCAATTAAAGTTTAATTTCATGAAAACGCTTTAGGAGTGTTATTTATTTCCTGTTAACTCTATTTAGGAATCACAGTTGAAATAAAAATCTATGTTAAAACTGATCACTGTGTAGTTTATTAGAACAGTTGTTCTCAACTGGTGGGTCACAACCCAAAAACTAGTCCCTGATCTAATTTGGTAGGGATGTGGACTGCCCAATTTTAGTGTGGTGTTGGGTCACACCATTTATGTCAAATCAAGACCAGTTGAGAACCACTGTATTAGGAAACTATATTTTGCTTTGATGCTTTGTATGTTACGGATGCTAAGCAGGACCAGCAGTTCTCATTAGATTGAAAATGTGAGGCTGATCTTAAACAGGAAGTAGTCTTTAATGTAACACACCATTCTCTTGGTGTACTGTAATCTATGCATGACCTGATTTATGAGCCCAGCCCATCTAGGGCTCTTGACAAACCTTGGTGTATTTTTGTGCACTTTTTACTGTGAACTGTGCATGGCTGCTTAAACCAGAGAAGACTGATCTTCGAGATATGTACATGTTGTAGTGATTCATCATCATGAATGATCAGCTGTTAATGGGTTTGTGGCAATCTCATTAACATTTTTACAGGCTATTGGGCAACAAATGTTATTCAGGGTTTATTGAACACGCTTGGTAGTGTATAACATGTCTTCATTGAAAATGCCTGTCAAAATCACATGAAACAATAAAAATGTTTAGAAGTAATGAGTAACAGCATGTATTATAAAATCATAGTCAATGCTTAACAGATCTTACACAGACTCAATGCTTTCAATTCTAAGACTGACTGACTTGATTCCTGCAACATCAATCATTAGTCTAATTCAAAGCAATCCAATTGTGACTATTAAAAAGATGGATGCAATTTTGCTGTAACATTTCACTGCTTACGTTTAAATTCAAAATTCCATTTCAGAGTTCTGTTTAATTGTATGATATTCAAATGGCAGAGAGACTCTAGGCTCTGTGTAGAGTCAAATGGGCCTCATTGTGAAACGTGCAAAATAAATTTTTGTGCAAATTGTTCGCAAAGCCATTCTGACTCAAATTTACAGAATCATGAATGTGTTCATATTTTGGCATATCACCAATTAGATTCTTTTGGATTTATGCAGTATGTTAAAGTCTGAGAAGGGAGTTTACAAGATCACAGCGCACATGCGATTCATGGGTGAGGATTATGTTAATTTTGAATGAGCTTGCATGAATGGGGTTGAGCTGAGGTTGGGTCTTGACAAAAATGTTTTTATCTGTTTTTAGGGTTAGTTTTGGTTAGGTTTTTAGAAATTTAACAGATTAAAGGTGCAGTAAGCGATTTCTGAGAAACACTTGATATTTGAAGTTGACACCCAAAAAAGCACACCACTACCCAATAGAAACACTCCCCTCCCTTTATTGCATCGCCCTCAAAATAACAAACACACTATGCAATGTCTAGCACCAACAGTATACAACAGCATATCTTGGTTCTATGAAACATAGCAAAACCCAATGTTACTCATGTATTGAGCAGAAACAAAGTAACCTCGGCATCTGTTTTTAGGCCTTGTCACTCTGTAATCTCTCCAACACTGGAAAGCTTTTCCAATATAAATGCAGGTCTTAGCTCTTGCCTTCTTTTTCCAATTATATTCCTCTGACCTTTTCCTCTTTTGGTAATATCTTTATGAAGTCTTTCTACAAATATCCTGGTTATAATTCTCTCTCCATCCCCATCATGAAGTGTATACTATGCCCCGATTGTTGATTGGCTACAAGAGTGTTGTGGTGCTTTGTGGATTGGTGAATCTCCTATTTACACACCCAGGACTGTGCACATTTTTTTTCAAGCGCACACACAGAACAGACATCTAGCAAATATTCACAAAAATGTTTTGATTTAATTTTTCAACAGCATTTCTCAGAAATCGCTTACCGCACCTTTAATTTGAGCACTGGCAGTATATGTAATGCCTGCTACAGAATGTGCAATTTCGGCAATCCTATAAGATCATTACAAATCACACTGTGCGACATGGATCTAATAAACTTGGGTATGACATGTATGTAGACTGTAAGATGATGACACCTATTGAATTGTAGGCTACGACACAAGTTAGTATAGAATAATAAAACATCATCAGCATGAGCTAGTGGTAAACAAATAGAGCAAGATGAATCGCACTTTGGCAAATGTGCTTTTTATGTGCGCTGAAAAAAAGAGGAGGAAGCGAAAGAGGAGAATATGGACACGGTCATGGCTAGGAAAAAGAGGCCAACTTAGCATGGCAATTTTGTAAATGGAGCTTGAGGTAAGTAGTTTAAGTTTTAAGCGTAGTTTTGCGTTTTTGTCGTGTTGATCAATACACCACTTCATGTTGCAGTTTAATTGGCTATTCAGCAGACCGTAGTAGCAGCAAAAACATTTAGAGATGATCATGCTAAATTTCTGACACTGTCACAAAATTATCGCAGGCTATCTTTCCTCGCAAGACAATGACGAAGGCCGTCTTTGGACCTCTCTCACTGTACAACATAGGACCACCATTTCAGAGTCACGAAATCACCACGATTGGTCATCTTTTGTCTGGGACAGCCCAAAATCATACAATGTGTACCAAGCATTACAGTTGAAGGTTGAGAATCGTTAGGGGTAAGGATTGGTATTGAAAGGTTCAAAAAGTGGTTAGGGCCGAAGGTTAGAATCCAGAAATTCGGGTTAGGGTTAGTTTAAAGTCAAGTCACCTTTATTTATATAGCGCTTTTTTCAATACAGATTGTATCAAAGCAGCTTCATTTAGAGTTTAGAGTCAAGTTTAGAAATAGAGATTTGAGTTTAGAGTTTAAATTTAATGTTACAGGTTAGGGTTACTTATGAATAGGAGGTAGGGCCATGGGTTAGGATCAGGGTTGGGGTCAGATGTATGGTTAAGGGTTAGAAGTAGGGATTCAATGGAGAAATTAGATGAGTTTTAGGCAGAGGTGCTCATTCCTGTACCTTAAGATCGACCTTTCTATTGAGTTCCAACCTTGCTCCAATACACCTGTTTGCGATTATCAAGTGTTCCTGAAGATCGTAATTAGTTGTTTCAGGTATAATTGAATAGGATTGGAGGGAAACTTTGCAGGAAGATAGATTCCAGGAAGAGGAATGAGTACCCCAGGTTTTAAAATGTTGATGGAGCACATTCAAACTGGCAAATTAACAGTCACCTTGAATAATGTTCAATGCAACTCTGAATGACACCACATTATTTTATTTTGTATAGTTATGATATAAAGGCTGTTAATGAGATCCTTTGTTTATTATGTCATTGTTTACGTGCAACGCGAATAACAGTATGCATACAAGAATTGTACAAAACATGTATGTAACCTAGATTTGGATCACACTTTTCTGTAATAAAATATTGATTGTATCTTTTAAATTAAATAGCTGATGTATTCTTTGACTTCATTGACCATGTATTTACATTTATGATACTGAACTCAAAAAGTTACAGCTTTACTTTAACTTGACTAGTTTCATTATGGTCAAAGGCAGCATTAGTATAAGCATTTTCCTGCAGGTTATCACTACTGCTCTTGACCGTCTCCATTTTTATGACACCTTTCTGGTCTGGATGTTTCTCCCATGCCTTGCCAAAGTCTCCCAAATCCTAATAGAAGCAAATAAAGTTTCAGTTTGCATTCAGACAACTCAAAGGCACATTCTAAAAGATGCTCTGTACCTCTTTGTCTTCACTAAAATCTGCGTGTATGAATCTTTCAGAGCAGAAGCAGATCACGTCCTTCATTGATCGAGTCATTCCTGGCTTCAACTTTTTGGTGTCCATTGGTCCTGCAGACACCAGAATTGCAGTTTACAACAATTGTAGTTACAACAATTTATCTAATTTCTCAAAATAAAACTCCTTTCTCAGTTCACCCAGACCATTTATTGTGCAGAAAACTGGTATATACATACAACAAGCATACTGGTTGTAATGTCAGGGTGAATTAAGACATTAAATAATTTAAGCATCAACTTTAAGCATTGTACCAGTGGGCATTTGCAAGTAGGGGATGGGAAAATTTCAAGTTATCTGAAAAGCAGATTCATCCCAAATCAAAATATGTTCAAAATAGTATATGCCAAAGGGCAAAAAGTGGCTAATTTCTTCTTAAATTCTCAAATTTCTAAAATAATGACTGTTTTAAAACTACAGATAGTCCCACCCTAAAATCATCCCATTGGTTGGCCCAGTGTTGTAGCACGACCAGCTATGCAATCCTCGATCCCGTTATCTCAGGGAACCGAGGTACGTTAGTAACCCAAACGCTCCCTTTTGATACGGTCCACTCGCATTGCATCAGTTGCTGACACTATGGGGAACGCAATATAATTGTAGCGTGCTACAATCGCAGAACCGAGACCGTCCTGCGAGCCTGGAATGAAGGCACTTGGGGCCAGGGCACTTATTAGGCTTATAACCAGGGGTAATGCAGGTGAATCCATGATCTCAGGTTCTGCCTTGGGCTGGGGCTGAGCAGGTGTAGATGCTGGACTAGTGTGCTGCTGAGTCGGCGGCTTGGGCGACTGGAAGCAGCAGCAGAATTGGCCCTCTTCAGGAGGAAGTGGCGCATGACTTGCAATGAATTCTTGGCCACTCTAAAAGGTTTAGCAAAGCCAACCACTGCAGAACCAAACCGGCCCGCTGGGGAAACTGAGTGATGGAGGGCAGTCTTGTCAGTGTCCTTGATTTCCATCCTTGAAGTTCAAACAAAGGTGGCGCTCAAGGACCACCAGATTGGCCATTGCATGCGTTTAAGCCCTCTGCCCCACCCGCGACCTGTACAATCCTCCGCGGAGCCCACAGGAAAATGATGTCGGCTTCCCACCATCAAGTGTGCTTCGGGATGCATCGGTTTCCAGCGAACGCACGCTGCACTGTCTGCCCCCACAGGCTTGCGGCCAGGTAGCGCTCGCGTCCGCACACCAATAATCGTTTTTGATTTAACCCTGCGGAGAGCCGCTTCAGGGAGTCGAGAACTAATCTCGAACGATACTTGAAACCAGCCTCAAGAGGTTGGTCCCTTGGTAAAATATTTCCAAGCATGGAAAAATCCAACGAATATTTCTCCTTGGGTCCTGCGCACCATTCAAAAGGTGTACAGACTGCAGTTTGGTTTCCGCCCACCAAAATTAAGCGGGGTGGTTTGGACTGCAGTCAACCCAGAGCAGGGTCGGGTATTGGAACTGGAAGTAAACTCCCTGCTGGTAAAGGAGGCCATAGAACGTGTTCCTTCGCAGGACAGGGAGTCCGGGTTTTACAGCCGCTACTTCATATTTCCCAAGAAGGATGTGGGGTTGGTCCAATAATAGATCTCGGGCACTTGAATCGGTCTCTGAGAAGGTTCAGGTTCAAGATGCTCACCATTCCCATCATCGTGAACCAAATTCAATCCGAGGATTGGTTTGTCAGGATAGATCTGAAGGACGCATACTTCCACATATCCATCCTTCCATCTCACAGGAAGTTCCTGAGGTTCGCTTCCGGGGGTGAAGCTTTCCAATATCGGGTTCTTCCATTTACAAAATGCATGGATGTAGCTCTAGCTCCGCTGAGGCTTCAGGGTATCAGGGTGCTAAATTATTTTGACGACTGGCTTATTATGGCCCAGTCACAAGAGCTGGCAGTTCGGCATCGAGATTCTTGCCTACATCTCAACACTCCACACGAAAAAAACATCTCAGGTTACGTATGTAACCCTAGTTCCCTGTGAGGGAACGAGACGCTGCGTCGAGATGCGATGGGAATGCCCCTGCGTGATTGCGTCGTGTATAATCAGTCCAATGGAGAGACGAGATGTCATAGGCGGCTGAAGTCATCGACCAGGAAACTATATAGCACACCTGAAAACAGACCGCGCTAGATTCTGAAAAGCCGAACCAAGTCGATCACAGGCATGCAGAAGTATGGCAGGAAGACGCAGCTCGAGTTCCCTTGAAAGGGAACGTCTCAGGTTACGTATGTAGCCCTGGTTCCCTGAGAGGGAACGAGACGCTGCGTCTTCCTGCCATACTCGAGACGCGGTGGGAACACCATACCCACGATGCCATAATAGCAAATGCCTGTTCTGTGTGAAGTTATTGCGCACACTAAGAAGCAAACACCCTAGACCCTGGAGTGGAGTCTAGATCCAAGTCATAAAATCTAACAAATATATGTGGTAAGGAACCAGCCTGCCGCATCACAGATGTCATGGAGGGAAACCCCCGATAATAAAGCCTTTGAGGCAGCCATACTCCTAGTATCTTGGTCAGACGCCTCACAGTGCCGCGAAGGAAATGTACTACAGGGTGTCTCCCCAAGGATACACCACTTAAAAGAGACGTGGTAAGCAGCTAAGGCCGCCATGTACACCTTTAGTGTGGAGGGGGATAGACCTGCGGAGAAACGCTCCTGCAGGAACTCTAGCACTACAACGACAGGGCAGATAACTGGGTCCAGCTGGTGCTCTCCGCACCAGGAACTGAACAGGGGGCATGGATCAACCTGGTCGCCTGAGAGAAAAAGTCCCCGCCGAGCAGAACACTTATTTAAATCGATGCATCGCATCGTTAGCTAAATAGCTTACCGTCCCTACTAAATACAGCTTACCAACATCTCAGATTAACCTGACATTGCTAGCTTCCGTTATTGTTAGCACAACACGCTAGTAACTCGCTAGCCTGTTAACGCGCCACCCGTGCCTTCAGTTATTTATTTATTTATTTATTTTTCTCTTGCGCGCCCGCGCCTTTGAGTTCATAAAAAGCCCAGGTGAGTAAGAATCAGTCAACAAACACGGTGAGTAATGTCTTGTCCTATTATTGTCACCTGCACTTCATGTCACATGTTTAGCATAGCCTTCTCTGTCGGCAATATAGGATTTATATGTGATGAATGCAAGGAGACAGTCAGGCTGACAGAGAAGAACTAGAGACACGCATCCAAACTTTAATTGAGGATAGTAAGTGTGCAAGGGCTTTAGATACTATTTTGGATGCGCCTAGCATAGTGAACTCTTTAAATGATTCGGTTCCGGCTGAATTATTGCCTGTCCAGCAAGGCAAATGGGTCACAGTGAGGGATCGCTCTAGTCGCGGATCAAAAAACCACTCTTCCGTTCCAATTACCATAACAAATCAATTTGCCCCGCTCAGTGAAACATCCACTGAGAAATCTGTTGATTGTGCCCTGGTAATTGGTGATTCCATCACACGGAACGTGAAAATAGAGACACCAGCCACCATAGTCACATGTTTGCCGGGAGCCAGAGCGCCTGACATCAAAGCAAATTTAAAAGTGCTGGCTAATGCTAATCGTAAATTCTCTAAGATCATTATTCATGTCGGCACTAATGATGTTCGACTTCGCCAGTCAGAGATCACCAAAATTAATATTAAAGAGGTGTGTGAACTAGCAAGTAGGGATCGCAACATATGGACCCAGCCTAACACAGGTTCCACACTGCTTACGAGTGGTAGGCCTAACACCGGCGTTCCGCCACCTCCGATGTCGGATGGGTGCGGAGGAACTCAACAGGGTTCGGTAAAGGTAACTCTACTGGAGCAAAATGGCACACGTATCCAGTCCGTAGGAGGGGAATGGCGCAGCAAGCCGACACTTCGAACCGGGCTCACGGTGAAACTGGCTTCATGAGAAGGGAGCCCACGGGAAGCCGCGGTTCGACTAAGGTGTCGCCCAGCCCCCAACTCTAGAATATCTGTCAGCGAAGCACTCTGTGTCAACGCCTAGGCGGGAGCACACACTAATTTAAGAGGAGCTCACCACGTAAGTGGACATGTGCATCTCGGGATTTTCACCAAGATGAGGCAACCACATTCAGTGGTCCAACCTCGCTTGGAAACAGCCTTCCCTCTCTGCTGCTTCCTTAACAGATAAGAGCTGGTCTGAGGTCCTATGGCTTGCGTTCTGTACACGTATATCCGCAATGAAGCGGACGGACAGAGAAAGCCAGGGCTGGGTCTGCCTCCTCCGAGGCAGCGCTTGCAGGCTCACCACCTGGTCCCTCTTAGGGAGAGGTAGGAACCTTGGGCACATATCCAGGCCGGTGTCTCAGCTAGTGAGAGTTAGCCGGCCCGAATTCCAGGCACAAGTCGTTGACCGAAAGCGAGCAAGTCCCTACCCTCTAGTACAGACCATGCGAGCAGGAGAACTGTAAAAACAGAATTTTTAACTCACTGCCTGCAGTGGCTAAGGGGCGGTCTCTACAATGCAATGGCACCAGAGATAAGGCCCAAGAGGATAAAGAGGAGCGCAAGGCTTTTTTAAATCCTTGTTCCCTCAGGAACCTGATGATCTTGACGTGCTCCCCATGCTTCTGCATCATGATGTGCATCAAGTAATAACAGAGGCACATCATTTTGAGGGTGGAGGAAAACAGCCTACTCCAACCCATCTTGCAGGAA